TTTGAATTGTGACCCTAAACCTATAAAATTTTTGAATTGTGACTTTAAATTTTTTGAATTGTGACCAAATTGTATAGATCTGTGACCTTTATATATTTATTAATTAAATATATAATTAATTAATTAAATTATAAATAAATTTTAATGAAAACCTGATTTTTGAAATTTAAAACCTCAAACCTTAATTTTGAAATGGTGATACTTAAATACCTTATTTATGTATTGTTCCCTTATAATTTTTTTATTTAAATCTCTTCAATAAAATCATTATTTACAGTGAAGCAATTTTTTTGTCCGCACGTCTCGAGAAACTCGAATCGAACCATTTTCTGGAGTCAAAAGATTTTAGGGATGTTAATGGGTTGAGCCGGCTTGGGCCCACCACATTAGCTAACTCGTTCTCTGTTCATTACACAATGAGCTTGGGTCAGCTCTTTCGAAAAAAATTAGCTTTATTCGCCCTCCATTTCTGTCAAAAATTATATTATTTTTCTGGAACACAAAGGAGGGGAAAAAATAATTTTTGTAAATGTACTTGATAAAAGAAATTCGAAGATGTAAAAACTCTCATCTTTTATCTAGGTTTGGGATTGACTACATGTTATGTAGGCGAATTTAAAATGGTTCACAAACTAATATTTTGTTAAAAGTTGGACCATCTCCAGAGAAGTTAAATATGGGTACAAAGGGTAAGCCTATCATCGGAAGATGAGGCGGCATTATATTTTTCAAGAATGGTTTTCATGGAGTATTGGTCTAAGGTTGAGTTATGTGGGTAAATTTCATAAAATTTTAATTGTGGGGGCAAAATTGAAAACTATAAAGAATTTTTTGAAAATATTGTGTAAAATCTTGAATTTGAAATTTAGTTTGGGAGCAACTGATCCCACCGCAAATCCGCTACTAGTTGAGCACTATATTACTAAGGTATTCTCATTTACACAAAACTTGATAGATTATATCATAACAAAGGAGCACATTTCTTATAACTTGTGAGCCATGATATCCCACAATAATAACCCACATTAACCATAAAATTGACCATCCCCTCTCTCAAGAATAGTGACTATAATTCTACATAACGATCATAAGTCGAAAACCCATAATACCATGCAATTCTCAACTCTTCATATTCCAATTATACATTTTAATAATAAAATGTAAAACATTCTCCACTCATTTTAATATTAAAAAGAAGTCAAGAATACATTGGCCACAAGATATATAGATCATTATGCCACGACAGTCGTAACTTTGCATTGAACCTCCATTAGTGAAACATCAATCTCTACTCTGAGTTAGTAGTGGTATATGAACTAATCAATTTTCGTGGGACGATACTCGAACTCAAAAAAAGTCAACTTTATTACTTGTTAACGAACCGTATACTTGGGTGGTTTTTAATTCGAAAGATATTTTCGTGAACAAGTTTTTGGCGCCATTGTCGGGGATTGAATTTAGTTTAATTTTATTTATCTTGACATTAATTCAAACATTATTTTTTTTTTATTTTAGTTGGTTATTTTTTTTAGTGGTTTATCTAAGTGTCTTTTAATCTTCTTTCAGGTCTTGTATGTGAATGGCATTTAATAGTGACTTAATTCCAGTTGATCCAGAAATCGAATGCACCTTCCATCATAGGCAAAGAGAAGCAAGAGTAGTATAACAAATGACTAACGTACAAAACGAACATGTGGTTCAAGTCAATGAAGAGGAAATTGTTGATGTGAGAAACTTGTTGGTTGGGGATTTCATGACACCGCAAGTCATTCAAAGTCAATTCAGTATCGTCTACCTCCGTTTGGGCAGCCTAACTTCTAGTTGAAGACCAATGTCATACATTTATTCCAGAATGGATATCAGTTTTATAGCAGAGCTGAAGAAAACTCACATACACACGTCTCTCGATTCTTGGAGATGTGTCAACACTTTCGATAGTAGAGTATCTCAGATGATGTTATCAGATTAAGGCTATTCCTACACACGATACATGATAAAGCACTGGAGTGGTTGAATTCTCAACCTATTGCCACATCAGCACATGGAACGACCTAGCTCAGAAATTCTATACAAAGTTCTTTCCACAGGCCAAAATTGCAAAACTAAAGCATGAACTCTCTATTTTCCATCAAGGTGATTCAGACTCTTTTGATGAAGTTTGGAACAGATTCAAGAACATGCTACGAAAGTGTCATCATCACGGTATTAGCAAAGGACTCTAGGTCCAATATTTTTATGCGGGATTGTTTCCATTATTCAAAAGTATGGTGGATTCTTCGTGTAATGGTTCATTATCAACAAAAACCATTGATGACGCATTGAAATTGTTTGAGACAATGGCGACTACTTTAGCAATGTTGGCTTCTGAATGGGTTGTTCAAAGGAAAGCACCCGGTGTATACAAGGTGGATGCTTACTCAGTCTTGTTCGTGAAAATAGACTCGTTATTCCATAAGGTTGAGAGCATATTACAAACAACTAACGTTGAACAAACCAAAAAGCTAAGGAGTATGGAGTAGATAACAAGTAGACTTCGTACAATGGAGACAACGTCAATAGAACAATCCACTTTCAGATACGTATAACTCAGGGTAGAGAAATCACCCAAACCTCTCTTGGGGTGGTCAGAATCAGAATAGGCCACATGGCCAGTTTCAACAGCCGAGGAAGATGTTGCAGTTGGAAGAAATGTTCGGGAAATTCAGGGAGAAAACAAATTAGTACATGGAAGCTAACAACCAGTTCATGAGGAAAATCGAAACAACTCTCCGAGATCAGAGTGCTGCTATTAAAAACCTGGATACTCAAGTTGGGCAGATGACACCTTCTATGACAGTAGAGTACCAGGTATCCTGTCAAGCAATACTAAGACAAATCCCAAAGAGCAGGTAATGGCCATAAATATGGTGGGAAATTAAATAATTGAGGATCCATTTGTAAAAGCAATCGTCACCGGAGTGTGGTGCAATTACTGGAAATACATGTAAAGAGGTCGAGTGCGAATAAGGAAACATGCCCTTCTTCGGATGAGGAGGAATGGAACAGACTGAACAAACGATAAAGGCATCTATGAAAGAGAGTTATGATGCACAATGAGTTAAGGCAATCATTTCTATCAATCCTTATAAGCCTCCTATTAGGGGTGGGCAAAATATCCGAACCGAACCGAACAGAACCGGTACCGAACCAAACCAAACCGGACGGGTTTTCCTAAATTAAAAACCCGAATGGGTATCTGAGTTGAGAACCAACGGGTTTGATTAGGGTTCTCGGTTCTAGATCAAGAACCGAAGAACCGATTTTTTTTTTAGATAAATCAATTTATTTTATTTTTTTTAAACAAATTAACAATATTTTGTTTTAACTATTTGATATATATATATATTCCTTAACCTAACACGGGTTTAA